TTGACAACCACATATATATAAATTATTTATATAATCAATACGACAGTAGAACTCCTCTGAACTCATCTTGTTGTCAGTCTTTACTTATGCGACAACCTCTCCCTTCCCCATCTCCCTATCCTGATAAAAGTTGGAGTAATGGGAAATGACTTATAATGATCATATAGAGTCGTATCACTTTTTATTTTTTTTGGTTTTCCGATCCACTCGATGTCCGGTACGTACATTAGGGTTCGATTAAATTCGAGTTCGTATCGAAAAGTTTCACATTAGGGGGTAAAGTGCTCACTAATAAAGACGACTTCATACTAAAGGACTCGAACTCGAGACATCTAAGTAAGGATGAAGGAGTACTTAAAATACAAGACAAGGAGTTTCGTCAAATTTTATTTTATGTAATATTGGACTGGGATGAATTTAAATGAAGCGACAAGGACAGTGATTATTCATATAATGTAACCGACCTCAATGAATTTATATATATTCGGGTTCGTGCTGGAAAGTTTCACATTGGGGATAAAGTGCTCCCTATAATAAAGGTCACTCCATACCTAGGGACTCGAACTCGAGACCTCTGACTAAGGATGAAGGAGTACTTAAAGTTAAAATACAAGACAAGGAGTTTCGTCAAATTTTATTTTATATAATTTTGGACTGAGATGAATTTAAATGAAGCGATAAGGACAGTGATGATTCATATAACGTAACCGACCTCAATTTTCATATAGAGTCGTAGCATTTTTTTCTTGGTTTCCTATTCGGTACCCGGTACGTACATTGGAGCTCGACTAAATCCGGATTTGCACCGAAAATTTTCATATTGGGAGGTAAAGTGTTCCCTCGTAAAGGCGACTCCATACTCATGAACTCGAACCCGAGACCTCTGGTTAAGGATGATGGAGAACTTAAAATACAAGACAGGGAGTTTCGTCAAATTTTATTTTATGTAATATTGAGCTGAGATGAATTTAAATGAAACGATAAGGACAGTAATGATTCATATAACATAACCGAACTCAATTTTCTTGGGATTGAGGTATAGTAATTACTATTGTAGCAGTATAAAATGGAATTTTACCTCCTATAGCAAATGTTAACACCTTATTTATTTTAAATAAATACCATTTTAAAAAATTATATTCTATAAATATCTTTTAATGTTTATAGCAAAATATCTAATTTTGGTTACCTTCTATCCCTAAGCCACTAAATACGTTATTCAGTTACACTATTTTTTTTCTCTCTATTTTGATACATGTCATTCTCTTCCCCATTCCCTGAAAACATGATGCTCACATCACCTCTCTGCACCAAAACCCATCTTTATTCTCTCCACATAGAACTTCCCCTATCTCACACGCTACCAGCTATGGGAATTATGATGGCCACTTGACATTGGCCATAATGGTTTTGCTCCGGCATCTCTGTAGTACCTATTTTCCAAGATAGTGATTGAATCTCAATGATAAGTCATGTTATCGTAATTCTTAGGGGATAACAAAGAAGGTAGCGGCGGCAATTTATACGTATACTCTTTTTCTTCTCGTCCAATGATGTTGTTCCTGCTTTCATTCAAGAACAATTTGTCTTCATTCGCGAGGGTTTTTGCTCGACGATGGATTCGTCGAAAATTAGGGTTTGAGCAACTTGATTTTCTGTTAATATATTTCAACGTATCACGTTGTATTTTCATGTATTCATTTTCTTTTTTTCATTATAATTCAATGTATCTCGTTGTATTCTATGTATTTCATTGTATTCACTGTCTCACTATATGCCATGAATGTATTCATATATTTTTTTAATTAATATAATTATGTATTCAGATGTATTATATAATTTCTCCGAAGATTGCTATGTTTTTGGGGTATTTTCCGGTTGAGAATCTTTTTTATAACTGGAAATACAAATTTTGTGTGTTATAATTGAGTTTGTTGAGTTATATTAGAAGTCTATTATGTTAATTGATTCGCTTTCCGTTTAAAAACAATGCAATCCCCTATTTCACGCCGTGAATACAGTCGAATACAATAATCTGTCCAGCTGTAATCCCATGTTTCACGCCATGAATACAGTCGAATACACTCGAATACAACAACTGATTAGTTGAACTTCCCTGATTCACGCCTATTTTTGCTACTGTATTCATAAATACAATAGCTTAAATACATCTAATACAACTTATAACAACAGAAAACGTATCTACAATTCTTAATATAGCAAATGGTATCTATAGATAGCTAATTACCACTAAAAGATAGTGTTTTATGAAAATTTCTCAAAAAAAAATTCCTTAGCAGAACATTATTATAAGTTTCAATTTAGAATCGAAATCTACATGTTCATCCAAGTACACTAGCTTTTGAATAAGTTTACAGCGAATATTAACAATAACAATAACAAATATAATGCACCCTTCAGTGCTATTATGCTACCCCCTTTATATTTGTACCGTCATAAAGCTATTAATCTTGGTATAAAATTTCAGAGTATATTTATTTCATGTTTGATTATGGATGTAAGTTAATATTGTAATTAATTTTATACCAAAATTTTAATATTAGTTATTCCATATTGGATGTCGGACTATAATCTATTATTATAATTCCTGGATAACCTTATTTCAAAAAAGACGAGAGTTATAACACAAGTGACAAAACTATCAATTGGCTTCTAACACGTAAATGACACCAAAATGTAAAATTTAGAGGCTAATCATGGAATTTTTTAAATAATAATAAAAAATAAAAAGGCTAATTGTGAATTTTTTTCAAGCCCTCAAGGAAATAGTCCAAACATAAATCGATTCACAATGTCACAAGTTTAAATTTTTAATTAAGCTAGTTCAAATTTTATTAGTAGTGTAGCGTCACCTTTTCCTCTCCTCCCCAGATGTAATATAATATAATTTAGAAAGAAAAAGAATGAGCGGAAATTGAAAGGTCTAATGTAATAAACTATATTAGTCAGCTGCCGTATCATACCGACCTTAGCTCGGTAGAGCGGAAGACTGTAGTGGGTGTAACCCCGGTAGCTATCTTTAGGTCGCTGGTTCGAATCCGGCAGGTCGGATTTTCATTTTTTTTCTTTTGTGATTATGTTTTTAAAGAAATTCTATTTACAAAATATCTTTATCGTTAAGCCGTTGTTATGTGGTTAATAATTGCAGATTGGCTAATTGCCCTCTCTAAACACCCAAAAGTTTGAGGATATTAGAATATAACTTGGTGGATGTTTGCTCACGTCTAAATCGTATTAAGGCATTGAGACATATATATTGTGTTTGTAAATACGACAATATAAGTCGCTTTTAATGAATGCGACTTATGAATTGCATTCAATCAAATGCGAATTTCTTTCTGGTTTGAAAATAATGAGGTTACTTATCATTGTTCATGACCAAAGGACGCATGAGTATTTATATATGGGGAGACCGGTGGTGAGTAGTGACTTTAATTTAAAAGCTATATTTTTTGCATGTCAACACATAAAGGGTGATTACATGTAAATAATCCAACCCAAAACCTTAAGGTCATAGGTGGAGTAGCTATTGATCATTTAAAACCCTTTGAAAACCTTACACAATCGATGAGAAACAAGTGTAAAATACTGTGACACCCTCCCATACATGTAACCCAGTTTTAATGTTTATACATGAATTTTACTTTTCCTCCTTGTTTTTGTGAGGCGCTCACCAAAAAGGGGCTGGAATACAAAGCGTCAAATTAGTTTCAATAATCTAATGTGTGTGTGTGTGTTGGGGAGGGGGGGAGGGTGCTTGAGCAATAGTAAAAATAGTATGGACTAACCAGTTTTCGGACTGGTTATTCAAAAATAACCAGCATTTGCAAAGTCATTGAAAAATAGCCACTATTTTGCTGCAACACGGAAAGTTCCAGCATAATATACTGGAGATCGGTGCATCTGTGTATGAACTTCCTACATATTATGTTGGAACTCCAACACGCAAAAAGTTCCAGTATATTATGTTGGATCGGTATATTATATTGCAATTCCAGTATACTTTTGAAACTGTGACTATTTTTAAACGACCACTTATAAATCTAACTATTTTTTAATTTCGCCCAGAGCAATGTTAGTGGCTCAATGGGCTTGAATTGAAAGGGAAGCCTAGAGCAACTCTATAACCTAAGTTGAGAGAAAAGTCCAGAGCGATAGAATAGATGAGAGAAATTAGTGTAGGCAAGATCACCAAAGTTTGATTCCAATACTATGTAAAAGTAATTGATCATGTCATCTAAAATCTTACGTAAGTTATTAAACAAGACACACTTTAAGGTCATGTCTCCTAATTATGTCTTCATCACGTCTCCTAATAGGGGCTTGATTCTTTTTCATAGGTTTAAAAAAAAAGGCGATTAAAATTTGAACCCAAGACCTTTAACTACTCTAATACCATGTGAAACATGGCTTAAACAAAATTTGTGAATACGCAGGGAATCACGTTATTCTGTGCCCATGCGATGTCCATTTATAATTGTGAGATACAGGAAGGATAAGTGCTATACATAATTTAGCTAACTAGGAGTTGTTGATAACAAACTATGCCACTCTACTCTATTAAATTTTGAATTCTGTGTTCCAATAGTCTATAATCCCACTTTTAAAATTTCAATGCTTTTAAATACGTCAAATTTTATTTAAAAGAAAACCTCAAATTTATCAACATTTAGTTTCCAATCGAAATAGGAAAAAATACACCACAAAACAGTGATGGAATGAAATCGACTCTGATTGAGTGCCCCCCACCCACCCACCTCCCAACCCAAAAAAAAGTAAGGTGTCTATGTCACGGATCTGGGACACTAGATTGTTATACAAATTATGAAAAGAAAAAAGAACAAATATTTTTTCCACTAAACTCATTTAGATGACAAATAAGGTGTCCCTGGACATTCAAACAGTTTCTTAAACGTAGCTCTTTCCTTTTCACCAGTAAATAATTTAAGTAATATACACAAACAGTATAAAACTTTCACTTATCAATCCAATTTAACCGGTTATAACAAGTTCTTTATACTATATCAAACTTGATAAGAAGGTTTACTTGTTGTTGCAAGTCAATTTTACTTGATGTCGTAAATAACACATAGAACTTAAACTCTTTATTAAATAACTTTTTCAACAGCCTGCTTAAGCTTTGACCCCAACTCTCAGCTGGGTCCTAAAGCTACAAAAAGGATGCTATTTCTACACTCTTACCTATTTCTACAAACAAAGATGCTATACTATACCGTCGAAATGTCAAAGTCGCATGAAGCATATAACATACTTGTGATTTAAGGAGTCATCTGAAGCCACCTGCAATAAATTCAAAAATCAAACTGACAGGAGACTGCAAAATCTTCTAGTAAATACCATAAGCGGTAGAAACTAATTAATCTGCATCTATATAACTCAAAATATTGACAACAGACTAACTCCAAATTCAAGAATAAAAGGCTAGACATTGCAATACTTGAAGTGCGCACAATAGGTGTCAAAAATGCATCTGGGGAAACCATTCTATTGCCAAGAGGCTAAGACAAGGCAATCAACTCTAGCACAAATTACCAAGAGTCCAAAACTCTAATGCCCAACACCAGTTCTTTTTTCTCTTCTTTTAGCCAAAAAGGCATAGAGATGTCAAGCAGAAAGAACAAAAGGGCATTGCTGGACTGTAAACATAAACACAACTAAAACAAAGAAAGGCAGAAAACAAGCTATGATAAGTTACCTTACTTCATTGAAGCTTGGTTGAGCAAATCTGCAAGTTATCGTCACTCAAACAACCAAGCAATCCTGTATTTAGGAGGCGTGTATACCTCACATCACGAATAGGACCGTTGAGAGATTTAACACGCTGAGCCACATTTAAAGATGGCAATTCTTGTAACACCAGTTCCATTGTTGCTTCATCACCAGAAGCAAACAAGGGGTTCTGATTCCCTCTATCTATTATAGCAGATTTTGGAAGTCGAATGCCACTCACTTTGGCACAAGAAGCTCCTAACTTCTGGTATCTGCTACCCACTCTCCTGTAAAGAACATGAGAACCCTCCACCGCTTGCTCCGTTACTGGAGGAGTAAGCGGTACTTGAGAAGCAGCCATGTCACCAATGGTCTCCAGTTTAGGACGGAAAGAGGCAACTATGTCATCATTTCTATCTCCACAAGCGAGAGATATACAGATTCCTTGATTCTCTGATTCAGGAACCAAGCACGGCCTTCAGTGATAAATGAAACTCTGTTATTAACATGGAATTCATAGAAACTACTCACAGAGCTTCAAGATAATAACTCTTTTAAACCAGCTTGAAAAGTCACCAAAACCATACAGTTGATCCAGGTTCAAATATATTTACATATATCAGATCCACTCTGCCCCTCAACTCCTTTAAGGAAGATTCTGAGCATAGTCAGACAAATTCAAACAATGTATTTGGAAAGCAATCATGTCTACTACTAGGGAATAAGGCAGAAACTCAATATAAGCACTCTTTTAGACCAGCTTGAAAAGTCAACTAAACACATAGTTGGCCCCGGAATGATTCACATCAATTTTTCAGAAGTTCTTATCTCTCAAAATCAGTAATGACAATATGGTAGAGCTTCACAACAAAAAATCTCTCGGACCAGCTTTAAAAGTAAACTAAAAAGCATATAGTTGATCCCGGTACATCTACATCCATATAAATCGCCATAACTGCCTGCTAACTATCCAGTCAACTCCTCTTAACATGATTCTGGACATAGTCAAGCATATTCAAACAATTTATCAGGGAAGCAATTGTTTCTACTACTAGGGCTTAAGCACATCGAAAACCAAAAAACAGTTGGCACATGAGCAAAATAATCTGCAAACAAAAAAAAAAAGCAATATACTTTGCCGCTAAGAAGATTATATACCCTCGACGTTAGTGGAAATTGTAGGTTGAAATGTGAACAAGGACCTGAACACATTAAGGCCTCTCTTTTTTTAAAAAGATTAAGACATCTGAATCTGAATACATATCTGAATACCAAAATGTGTATTAAGATTAAAATATCTTAATCTGAATACACATGAATATTAAGATGCGTATTAAGATCTGAATACTAAATAATTAAACGGTTTGTTTTTTTAACATCTGAAGGTATAAAAGTAAACTTTATTAAAAAATTAATTAACATAAAATTCAAATAAAATACTAACTAATCTAATATATTATTAATAAAATATTTTTTTTAAATATGGCAATCGCCTAGTTGGTGGTGGTAATGACTAACGGAGGTGCGTGTGATGCCGACTAGAGGCGGTGGTTGATGGTGATTTTGGTTAATGGTGGTGGTTCTAGGTAGTAGCTAGTGGGAATTGGTAGGATGGCGATTATGGTTCAGGATAATGGTGGTGGGTGGTGATAGTTAATAATGGTGGGTGGTGGTGGTTGTGACTGAGGAAGGTGATGGTGGGTGGTGGTAATTTATAATGGTGGGCAGTGCCGTCTATAGTTGTTGATTGTGATGGGGGTGATTGTTTTGGTAGTTGAGGTAGGTGAGTGTGTGTTTATTATTGAAGATGATGGTGGGAATGGTGGGCGGTGGGAGTAGTGGTGGTAGTTGAGCATGGTGGTGGTGGTGGTTGAGCATGGTGGTGGGGGTGGCAACAATTAGTAATGAATGTGAATAGCATCTTAATAAAATTAAGTCTTTGTTATAGATCTTAATCATACAGACATATTCAGACCCATTAAGTGATTGTGAAGTAAAAAACAAACACCTAATGATTAAAATCTGAACGATTAAGATTCAAACTTAAAAATAAACGCACTTAATGTCTGAGATCTGAATGATTAAAATTTAGACCTCCATTAAGGGCAAACAAATAAGGCTTAAGTACTCTAGAATAAAAAGTAAGATTGTACAATTAACAACTCAAGTAGTGAAAGTTCTTTACAACAACTTCAAGATTCTTCCAATCAAACCGCCCCCAGGGTGACTTTGGTCTAGTGGTAAGAGTGATACTAGTAATGTGTGGGTTAGCCGCACCTCATTCTGCCGCCGCAGACAAAAGCCTAGTATTTGTGAAGAAAGGTATAGGAGAGTGATTATTATTCACCAAGTTCCCAACCGTGCGTCAACTGGTCCATGAGGAATTTTGGTTATCAAAAGAAAAAAGATAATTTCTTGCAAATCTTAATAATAAGTAAAGCCTTGCCATGGCTTCACATTATGAAAACATCAAATGACAAATCATGCTTGTCTGCACAACTAAACTAAGTCAATAAGAAATTAACAACCATGTTAAATCCTTGACATTAGACCAGAACCTTAACAATAACAACAAACCCAGTGTAATTCCACAAATGAGAAGTGGGATCTGGGGAGAGTAGTGTATGCGCAAACCTTACCCCTACCTTGTGAAGGTAGAGAGGTTGTTTCTGATAGACCCTCGGCTTAAGGAACGGTGAACAGGAAGCAACCAACAATAACAACAACAAGAAAAAACAAAGACACAACGTGTAATAACAAAGTTCTAGAAATAAGATTAGACCGGAACCTTGATGTTCCAATTAAGACTTAAGAGTATCTTTTTTACCAGACTGGAAAAGGATAAGAAGGATTTCCATGAGAAAAAATCTGAACCATCCAACCCAAAGTTTAATTCTATTAGGAAAAAGAGAAATGCGATAACAAACAACTTCAAGGAACAAAAAATAATCAATCACCTCCAACGCATCATTGCTGCCTGAATAAACTATAAGACTTACACTACTAATATATATTTATTATTTTTAAAGATTTTTCACTAACCTACTTTTTGAGATATTGGATCACCATAAAGTACTAGCAATATAAACTGTTTTACCATGACAAAAAAGTTACATTTTGAAGAACATAACTATTGAACCATACCAGTAATAGCCAGCTGGACTATTTAGTGAGCAACAATTTGCATCAAACACAGTAAACTCTTAATCTCACCACAGTATGTAACAACAACAACAACAACAACAACAACCCAGTGTAATCCCACAAGTGGGGTCTGGGGAGGGTAATATGTACGCAGACCTTACCTCTACCCCGAGGGGCAGAGAGGCTGTTTCCAGGAGACCCTCGGCTCAAAGAGGCAACAAGAGACACTATATTAGTACTATCAATAGACTCATAATAAAACAACATAAA